GATATAAAGACATCATAGTATACTGAGGCCTGAAAATTGAAAAAAATGACATAGTATAGTATGGCGAAAAATGTGAAAAAACAACAAATTTTAATAAGGCACAAAAACATCAAAAAACGTCATAGTATAATAAGATACAAAGACGTCATAGTATATTGAGGCCTGAAAATTGAAAAAAATGACAGTATATTATGGTAAAAAAAAGTGAAAAAACGACATAGTATAGTATGGCAAAAAATGTGAAAAAACGACAAATTTTAATAAGTCATAAAAACATCAAAAAACATCATGGCATAATAAGATATAAAGACATCATAGTATACTGAGGCCTGGAAATTGAAAAAAATGACATAGTATAGTATGGCAAAAAAAAGTGAAAAAACGACACAGTATAGTATGGCGAAAAATGTGAAAAAACAACAAATTTTAATAAGGCACAAAAACATCAAAAAACGTCATAGTATAATAAGATATAAAGACATCATAGTATACTGAGGCCTGAAAATTGAAAAAAATGACATAGTATAGTATGGCGAAAAATGTGAAAAAACAACAAATTTTAATAAGGCACAAAAACATCAAAAAACGTCATAGTATAATAAGATACAAAGACGTCATAGTATATTGAGGCCTGAAAATTGAAAAAAATGACAGTATATTATGGTAAAAAAAAGTGAAAAAACGACATAGTATAGTATGGCAAAAAATGTGAAAAAACGACAAATTTTAATAAGTCATAAAAACATCAAAAAACATCATGGCATAATAAGATATAAAGACATCATAGTATACTGAGGCCTGGAAATTGAAAAAAATGACATAGTATAGTATGGCAAAAAAAAGTGAAAAAACGACACAGTATAGTATGGCGAAAAATGTGAAAAAACAACAAATTTTAATAAGGCACAAAAACATCAAAAAACGTCATAGTATAATAAGATATAAAGACATCATAGTATACTGAGGCCTGAAAATTGAAAAAAATGACATAGTATAGTATGGCGAAAAATGTGAAAAAACAACAAATTTTAATAAGGCACAAAAACATCAAAAAACGTCATAGTATAATAAGATACAAAGACGTCATAGTATATTGAGGCCTGAAAATTGAAAAAAATGACAGTATATTATGGTAAAAAAAAGTGAAAAAACGACATAGTATAGTATGGCAAAAAATGTGAAAAAACGACAAATTTTAATAAGTCATAAAAACATCAAAAAATATCATAGCATAATAAGATATAAAGACATCATAGTATACTGAGGCCTGAAAATTGAAAAAAATGACAGTATAGTATGGCAAAAAAAATTGAAAAAACGACATAGTATAGTATGGTGAAAAATGTGAAAAAACAACAAAGTTTAATAAAGCATGAAAACATCAAAAAACATCATAGTATAATAAGAAATAAAGACGTCATAGTATATTGAGGCCTAAAAATTGAAAAAATGACATAGTATAGTGTGGCAAAAAATGTGAAAAAACGACATAGTATAGTATGGCAAAAAATGTGAAAAAAAACCAAAGTTGAATAAGGCATAAAAACATCAAAAAACATCATAGTATAATAAGATACAAAGACGTCATAGTATATTGAGGCCTGAAAATTGAAAAAAATGACAGAATATTATGGTAAAAAAAAGTGAAAAAACGACATAGTATAGTATGGCAAAAAATGTGAAAAAACGACAAATTTTAATAAGTCATAAAAACATCAAAAAACATCATGGCATAATAAGATATAAAGACATCATAGTATACTGAGGCCTGGAAATTGAAAAAAATGACATAGTATAGTATGGCAAAAAAAAGTGAAAAAACGACACAGTATAGTATGGTGAAAAATGTGAAAAAACAACAAATTTTAATAAGGCACAAAAACATCAAAAAACGTCATAGTATAATAAGATATAAAGACATCATAGTTTACTGAGACCTGAAAATTGAAAAAAATGACATGGTATAGTACGGCAAAAAAATGTAAAAAAACGACATAGTATAGTATGGCAAAAAATGTGAAAAAACAACAAAGTTTAATAAGGCATAAAAACATCAAAAAACATCATAGCATAATAAGATATAAAGACATCATAGTATACTGAGGCCTGAAAATTGAAAAAAATGACAGTTTATTATGGTAAAAAAGTGAAAAAATGACATAGTATAGTATGGTGAAAAATGTGAAAAAATAACGAATTTTAATAAGGCACAAAAACATCAAAAAACGTCATAGTATAATAAGATATAAAGACATCATAGTATACTGAGGCCTGAAAATTGAAAAAAATGACAGTTTATTATGGTAAAAAAAGTGAAAAAACGACATAGTATAGTATGGCGAAAAATGTGAAAAAACAACAAATTTTAATAAGGCACAAAAACATCAAAAAACGTCGTAGTATAATAAGAAATAAAGACATCATAGTATATTGAGGCCTGAAAATTGAAAAAAAATGAAATAGTATAGTAAGTCAAAAATTGAAAAAACTGACATAGTATAGTATGGCAAAAAATGTGAAAAACAATAAATTTTAATAAGGCATAAAAACATAATAAAAACACCATAATATAATAAGATATAAAAACGTCACAGTATATTGAGGCCTGAAAATTGAAAAAAATGACATAGTATAGTATGGCAAAAAATGTGAAAAAACAACAAATTTTAATAAGGCATAAAAACATAAAAAAACATCATAGTATTTTAATCTAAAAAATTGTCAAAACACGTCATAGTATACTATGGCATCAAACGTCATAGTATAATAAGGCATAAAATTGTCAAAAAACGTCAAAGTATACTATGGCATGAAATGTCATCGTACAGTAAAGTATAAAATATTCAAAAAAGTCACAGTATACTATGGCCTAAAATGTCATAGTATATTAAGGCATGAAAATGGTAAAAAAAAAATTGTCATAGTATAATAAGGTGAAAAAACGCCAAAAAAACATCATAGTATAGTAAGGCAAAAAACTGTCAAAAAACATCATAGCATAATAAGGTATAAAATTGTCAAAAAACGTCATAGTATACTATGGCATCAAACGTTATAGTATAATAAGGCAAAAAAACATCATACTATAGTGAGGCATAAAATTGTCAAAAAACATCACAGTATACTATGCCATCAAACATCATAGTATAATAAGGCAAAAAAAACATCATACTATAGTGAGGCCAAAAATTATCAAAGATTGTCATGGTATACTATGGCATTAAACGACATAGTATATTAATGCATATAAACATCAAAAACGTCATTGTATAGTAAGACAAAAAATCGTCAATATACGTCATAGTAAACTATGGCATCAATCGTCATAGTATATCAAAGCATAAAAATGGCAATAAACATCATAGTATATTAAGGCAAAAAATTTACAATACCCAAACAGAACACAAGTTTAACATGCAAACTCCTGCAGAAATTTCTCAACTGGGATTGGAACCTAGAACCTTTGTATTGAGAAGCAACACTTCCAACCACTGGACTACTTTGCCTGCCAGTTGAAATATGCATACTATAGTGAAGCAAAAAAATGTCATGGTATAGTATGTCAAAAAAACATTAAAATACGGCATAGTATAGTAAAACATAAAATTGTCAAAAAACATCATAGTATACTATGGCATAAAAGGTCATAGTATAGTAAGGTATAAAAAAGGCAAATCATAGTATACTATTAAGGCATTATGTCGTCAGAAAACATCATAGTATAGTGAGGCACAAAATTGTCAAAAAACGTCATAGTATACCTTGACATAAAATGTCAAAGTATAGTATGGCAAACAATCGTCAAAAAACATCATAGTATATTAAGGCATAAAAACGGCATAAAACGTCATAGTATTGTAAGGCATAAAATTTTCAAAAAACCTTCTTACTGTAAGGCAACATTACTAAGCACTCAGTCACCGTGCTACCTCATAAGTGATCCAAAGTATATTAAGGCATAAATACCTCATAGTATAGTGAGACAAAAATGTCATAGTACAGTGAGGCATAAAAATGTCACCGTGTATTAAGGTATAAAAGGTCATAGTATAGCAAGACATTAAAATGTCATAGTGCAGTAAGGCATAAAAAGTCATAGTAAGTCATACAAAAAGTCATTGTATAGTAAGGCATAAAAAAAGTCATAGTATTCATTTTGACATTTTGATGGGATTTTTCGACAGAAATTAAACTCATTCTTTGATATATCCACCATTTTATGTTTAGCTCTGCTATTGTTATATAACATCAGTTAACGTATACACATGATATTCTCACATGACGTGAGCCTTCAGCTAGACCCCGCCCTTAATTGGTTGTCTTGGAGACATAGCCTCTTGGAGTGTACATTGGATCGATCTAATATATGACTTCACTCCAAACATAGTGTGAACTTCAATTCACTTAAATAAAGGTTGGGACAATTTTGTCCTCCAAAAACACTATTAGGGACATGTCCCTACCATCCATTTGCAAACTTACGCCCTTACCCTGAACTGTCCAACAGTGAGTCAGGCTTCTCTAGGAGTCAGAGACATTCACACATTCTCCACCTGTAATACTCTGTTCGTGCTTCATGAGAAACATCAGAATCAGCTCGATATGTCAGGGCCCTGACCCCAGTCTGAACAGAGAGTTGACCAGTTTATACATTTTCTGCTGTTTACTGTGGGAGGGGGTGGACAAAATGTTTTACTAAACATAGTTTAAACCTTGAAGGGCATCGAGTGGAATCAGGTTAACATTTCACCTCCCTGTATTGAGCTGACCCTGTCCCCCAAAAGACGTAAATGCATTCTCTTTCTTATTTCTCACAGCCTTGTTTTAAAATCTGGACTTTTAGGATCTTTATTTATTATTTTAGTTTGGATAGAATATTTCAGCTGTATGAGTCAAGGTGAGTTTAGGCACACAGCTGGGAGTGAATGGATAAGACTGTAAAATGTTAACTTCGAACACTTTTAAAATAATCACTTCTACTTCATCTGTTCCCAACACAGGTAAGCGTACTGCACAGCTTAGAGGCTGGGGAACATGTCAATCACATGATAGCCCCGCCTCAGTACATGCAGGTGGTCCACCATCCGTCCATGATTCATGGCCTGTACCCCAGCCACAACTCAGGTAAGAAAACACACACTAGTTAAGTGTCTCTAATTCCTTTATACATAGCATTAACATTTTCTTTTTTGGTGGAGCAAGTGAGTGATATTTATGTTCTAAAAAACTCATAAAAAAGCATCCTGTATTAATGGGAGAAGTCACTTGTCAGACAACAACTGTGTGACTTCTCCCATTAATACAGGATGATCCCATGGCACATCATGCTCTTAGAAATTTAGGGAATTTATACATCTATCAATGGCCTACTCAAGATACCAATAGTTCATATGGTTACATAATTTGAATGAATTATGAAAGCTGCAAAGCAGAAGTTTTCATTTAATAGATTGTAATTTCTGTTAATAATTTTGTCAGTAGACCTGATTATATATTGTGATATCCACTTGTTTTTTGTATATTTATATATGTATATTTTTTCCCTTCCCTGTATCGATATATGTGGAATATAACATGACAGAGTATACACAAAACACTGTCAATGATTAAAAGACACTCCCACAAGAGTGTAATTGTCACACATCTGGGAACACAAGATGGGTGGCCCGAAACATTAGGATAATTAATAAATTGTGATGCTGAGCAACGTGAAGGATATTGTGACACTTCCCAACGCACCTGCATGTAAGACATTTGGATGAGCAAATACCTTCATCGAGGAATAATTAATGTGAAAAAAAATGTAGAAGCTAGCTTGATAAAACATTCATGGGCATTTGGAAACTATCGTAGATTGAGGGAGACGTGTTAAGAATCAGACCCTGGAGCAACCTGCGCGCCGCTGAGCCACTACTGTAAAAAAAAAAAAAATGGAGCCAGTGAAGAGTTTTTATGACAGCGATCTATCCTGAGGTAAACTTGGCTGGATCCAAGCGAAACGCTCAGCTCTGTTTTCTAGTTTGTTTCTCTTATTGTTGATCAGATTGCAGCTCTCACACAGTGGTCCTCAGTGATAGAGAGCAGTGTAAACCTGCCCTGTCACATGATGCATCAGTCTCTTATTCCCCTCCTTCTGTGCATGAGTGATCTGAAGTAAAGAGAGCACGGTGAGGAGGAGAGACCTTAGTCTTAATCTACCACACGAGATTTAATTATTCATCAGACTCTAATGGATTCTACTTACAGTCCTGGAGAGTTGTGTGGCTAGTGCTGTTAACAGCCCAGAGAGTTGGGGTGGGCTGTGTGTCTAGGAAAAGGAGGTCAGAGGAGCAGAGAGGGGGGCGGGTGGTTGGAAATCAGAGACTTATGTAAAAATGAAAAAAAGAGACTTCCAGCTGTAGTTTCAGCCATGACGACTTTTAGGCACATGTGAATGTTTCAGATGATATCACGCTGTGTGTTGAGTAACGCGTGCGCGTGCGCATGCATGAAAACACTCAACCAAGTTACTCGGAGTGGCTGCGTGAAGCTTTACTCTGAGAAAGATCAAAGAGCGTGAATTTAGTGTGAAATTCTCGGGAACTAGACTGAATCAAATGATCGTCTGAAAAATCCCCTGCGAGTCTCACCCACGTTCATTAAACACACACACACACACACACACACACACCAGCAGAGACTGGTTGAGAGAGGGCAGGACGAGAGAAGTCGTGTTATTTCACTAGGCTGGAGATCAGAGCAGAAGAAATAAACATTTTAGATCAAGTGAAATCCCTCAGAGTATGTTGTGGTTATGCTACTAAATAGGGCTTATGATACACCCTTGCAGTTGTGTACTGCTCAGAGACCAAATCTAAATGTGTTTTAGTTTTTTAGAACTGAATTTGAAACAATCTGTATCTGACACACAGCTATCAGTCAGTTGAATTTCTTAACCTTTTTTAGTTTTTATTTGTCTGAATCTAAGCCAGCAGGCCTTGAACATTAATTCTAGTAAAAATGTGAACATGAAGAAAGTTATTGTGCTTTCCTTTGAGCACTGGAAGCCAAGAGAGTTCACTTCAGCCAACTTTTAAAAAAAGTCGAACCTTTTGTTTCATCTTACATTAGTTGAAATACAGAGAAGAATCAGGGGCAAAGAGCATCACTGTGTCTCTGTCACTGAATAGGTAAAAACTCCATGACATTACAAACATTTAAGCCAAAAAGCACCACCTGTTATCTCACAGTTTGATGCTATGATTTCTTTTGTCTAGCTATTAATCAGTAATTAATTCCGTCAAGTCAGATTTATTTATAGACCACATTAAAAAGAAGAAACGCTGACCAAAATAGAATCAAAAAGAGAGGCTATAGTCACAATAACAGCTCCGACCAACAGACAGACAGAGGGACATTGTCATCCCTAGAGACTCACCACCACTGTAACTTAAAACCAGAGCATAAAAAGACTCTGACAGGCCAGTAATGCTAAAGAAAAATGACATAAGAAAAGAAAGGGACTTTCACAATAATTAAAGATCACAATCATCAACAGAGGACCCATTTTATGTAAAGGTTAAAGAGGCCTCCTGTACAATAACATGAAAAAAATACAAAAAATCAATAGGCTGTTACAAAAGGCAATCACTGTCAAAGAGACCAGAAAACCATAATAACAGCCTAAGACAAGCCTCAGCCACAACAACAGGAGAAAAAACTATTATTTTTGACACAATATAGACGCTGTATTTCAGTCTGGCCTGACATGCCGACATGCAATCACTGGAGCCCCATACTGTACGTCACTGGTGTGGCTGATAACAAAATATATAGTTGCACTTTAATCTCTGTGTTTCGAAGACACAATTTACTTTTTTTATTGTTTGGGGTCCAACTGACCTCAATTCCCAATGTGTAAGATTAACAATAATAATAATAATTATATATAATTAAATCAACCTATTTTTCTTTTAAATGGGAGTATTTTTTTCTTTTCATCCGACCTCACTAAAACCTAAAAACTGGGAAAGTACTGAAATGGTAACAAACAATTTGGGCTTGCACATCTGATGAAGGATGACAGATACATGTATGTGATTGATCACAAAACATTGGAATTACACCACACAAGGAAATATTTCATGTTTTCAATTATGTATGAATGAATATATATTCTTTTTGTTTACCAAAAAGTAATTTGCATATAAAATAATATATGATGTCTTATCCTGCTTAGTGACATTACTTATCTTTGTTGTCACTTCCCATCCCTGATAAACCTTTTACAACCTGTTATTAAATTCCAATAAAAGAAATCCTAATAGACTTATCTGGGATTAGGGAGGGGTGGTGTTATGTATGAAGTCCTGTTGACACCAGTTAAAAATAAAGAGAATAAAATGTGTTGTATTTAATCAGGTTTTACAGAAATGGTGCGCAGTTTCTGTATTTCTAAAACTAAAACTTTATAAGCAATTCTCGTCAGCCAAATATATTTTCTGGGCTGTTAAAGAGAGTTAGAGAAATCTTGTCCATACACATTAACAGTAAATACAGAGAAACTGATCAATTAGTTAAAATGATTAGTGTTTATTTATTATATTTAAGAGTATTATTACAAAGACATGGCTGTAATTCAGACCTCAGTGGAAACACAAACGCAGCATATCATCATCTTCCACAAAACACACAAGAAGCCACGTAATCCAGTCGTTACATTACAATCCTGAACCAGGGTTTTCTTTGTCTCAGATGTCTACACTTCCTCCTGCAGCGTTCCCTCCAGCTCATCATCCATGTACACAATCACACTGGTCTCCAGTCTGGCCAGCGATGTGATCTCAGTCACAGTAGTTTGCTCAGTGGCTGCCTGTTTATCCATAGAGACCTCTGGAGAAGCCTCTCTCTTCGTGAGGAATAGTCAATATAGAATGTGGGTAAAGAACATTTATATTGGAAAAATGATTCTGGAAAAAACACTTCATTCAATTCATTTTTTATTAAGAAATAACAATTTCTCAACTGTGCTGGGACTAAGACGATCTCTTTTACTTTATTTTTTTTTTATGATCTCCCCGGCCTTTGAGAACAATCTTTCGCAGGACACAGGTGAAGCTGAGTTACACAGAAACCCTACTGTCAGCTCGTAAAGACGCAGACAAATTTGTCTTTCCCAGTATTTCAGCCAGCTAGCCCCAGAGTGTCTCGTCACTTTCCGATAGCGACTCACTTTAGCCTCCGATCTTCCCTGAAGACGTATCGCTGCTGGGCGGGCGAATTATAACCTCTTGTCTTGTAAACACGACGACGGCCGAAGCTCTTGAAAAGCAACAATCATCACCACCTGCTCCCGGCAACAAAAAAACAAAAGAAAAAAACATGTTTAGCAGCAGAAAAAAACTTACAAATAACCCCTTTAAAGAAAGGCTAAACATACAGTAAGTCAGAGTTGACAGGTAGCCCCCTAAATTCATGTAACATATGAATCCAAAACTGCTGTTTAAGATTAAGAATCTGAACTGATGAAGGCCTGCCGCTGGCCTAGGTCTACACTGCCAGCCCCGACCCAGCTATTCCCTTCTTCCATTCATTCCTCAACCATTAGAGCGTAGCCGATGTATTTCATCAGCCTGGCAAACTGTCTCTTTTGCTCTTGCTACAGGGCATTGTGTATCAAATGCTGGGCAATAAGAGAGACAATGTCATTTGAAAATAACAAAATAAAGACTCAACAAGTGCCAGAAGCTTCACAGAACAACCCAACACAAAAACCCCCTGACCGTACATCTGCAGTTTTTCTTTTTTTCCAGCTTCTCTCACCTCTCTATCTTCTCTCCTCTTGTTTTCAGGCGTACCCAGTGCTGCCACAGTGGTAATCGTCATGTGTATCGCTGCGCTGGTGGTGGTCGTGGTGCTGGGCATCTACCGCATTCACCTGACCCACCAGCAGGAGGTCAAGCTGGCCGAGACGACTAAAGAGGCGGACGCGACCTGGAATGACTCTGCTCTGACGATCACAGTCAACCCAATGGAGGTAGGAGGACTGGAGGCATGTGGCAGGGTGCTGTCAGGGAGGGGATAAGGAGGGAAATAGGAGGTAAATAAGATGGACTGGGTGTTAGTGACTGGAATATAAAAGGTACATCAATGATCTGCTTGGTCATTAAGAATTAAATGATTCGGCTGTCTTGCTTTCAAAACTAATTTCTAATCAGTTTCTGAAACTCTCTCTCACCACAGAACCTGGAGGAGCCCCAGGCTGCAGAGGAGGAGGCCAGCGAGGAGGAGGAGGATGACGACGAAGAGGAGGAGGAGGAAGACGACGAGGAAGAGGACGAAGAAGACGACATCACCAGCGCTGAGTCAGACGACAGCGAGGAGGAAGTGGATGTCCAGCTACCCAGGATGCAACGCTCAAGCAAGAAGGGCCAAAACTGGGACAAAACAACAATATCTTATTGAAACACACACACACACACGCACACACACACAGTCACACACTGTCACGCACACACACGTCCTGCAACACGTCCATACTCAAACTTCAAATCAGAAGGTTAAAACAAAAAGACTTTATGTGATGTTGATGATCTAAAAATTAGGTCATATCTCTACTATACTGAAACACACACACACACACACACACACACACACACACACACGCCCACACACACGCACACACACACCCAGTGCAATGATTTAACCATAGCCTTGTCAGAAAACCTCCCATTTTCTACAGCTGATAAGAAACGATATGACACTAAAACTGCTCATCAATCAAACGACTTTCATTCTTCTTAAAGGGACAGCTCGCCAAATTTAGGTCATTCCCCTGAGAGATGTTTTTCCTCTCCCATTACAGTCCACACCACAACGACAGTCTTTAGTGAAATAAAGTTGTACGAGTCCCATTTTCCCAATTAAACCCCTGCAAACATCCATTCAGTTTGACGTGTCAGATTCCACAGTGAGATTTCTGATGTCCCATGAAAATGCAAAACAGTCTTTTATTTAAGAAAACTGAGTTGCAAAAGTAAAGAAACTGACTATTTTTGGTTTGTATACTTCATGTTATTTATCAGTCTTTATTCTAGCCTCTGTGGCAAAGCCAGGTGATTTTACAGAAATAGCATATTTTCAATGGTACTCAAAAACAAACAAAAGAGAAAAAAAAGATAATCGGTGTGCTGTCGCAGACGTCATGTTGAACTAGCCGAGGGGTCTGAGTTCTGGGTTTTTGGGAAAGACAGAGGAGTCTCCTTGTAAATTTTTATACGCTCCTTTCTTGTAAATATTGAGTATAGTAGGTGACCCTCCCACCCCTCCGCCACCCCCTCTTTCTCCACCCAGAGACCCTCCTCCACCTGTACACAACACACGTCACCTCTCCATGTATATGTACACACCCCGAACCCTTAGAGAGTCTTTACGGAAACGACCCCCTTCAGTCGTCTGTGTGTGTTTCTAGCTCAGTGTTCAAATCATTCCAGCTGACGGCGACTTGGGTTTTGTTTGGATGGATGTGCCGCTGCCTCCACAGTGACTGAGTCAGTAGGCAGTAGATGTGCATGCGAAGAGATTCCAGACTCGTTAAGTCTAAATCAAACAGCAGGGATGCAACAGAGAAGGGAGTCCTCTCACTATCCATGTATAAACCACAAGATTTGCTCAAATTGAATTTTATTCTCAGGTGTGTCTCAGTACTCAGTGAGTGGGAAAGCTACACTATTAATTCCACAATCTCACTCCTAGTAGTCATTAATGCTGCATTGCAAAGATGTTGGAAAGTCAGAAATCCATACTCTCCATGATGAGTGATGCAGCGGAGCAGCCTTGAGTTGGAAGTCAAGAGACACAGTTATCTGACGTCATCATTAAAGCCCCACTGCAACTCAAGTGTTGAGGCCAAGACCAATATTGATATTTGACTTTTAAAAATGTGATAACAACATTTCACACAAAATAACGTATATTTTTTTGATAAGGGTCCCTTTGGGGCCTTTGGTTCGTCAGGATTTGTGACCCAGTATTGCACTGAGCAGAACATTTGAACAACACCAACAACAACTTGTACAACTGTACATTTCAAACAGTAAACTTTACCAGAATAACAACTATAAAGAGCAAAAATATTAAATATCAATTATTTTAATTAAGAGCTTTAATTATAGAGAACTATAATAAAGATTCAGTGAAGTATGTGTGTATGTGGATAAGCCTGGAAAATTAAAGCTGCACTAATCAATATTTTTTATAATAATAATAGATAAAATAACAATGTAATGTAAAAGGTGTTGTTTATAGTGACAAAACCCACAGAGAATTATCACCCAACTCTGCAGTTCCCCTCAGCTATACAAAACATTTTAGCGTTTATAAGATTATTCTTTTGCATTTTGCAACTTTAATGTTTTGGTTCATCATCAGCTGTTTTCAGCTAAAAAGCTCTGATAACTGTGTGCTACCTGCCCAGGGCCAAACGGCAAAATGACAGGCAAGGATAGCAACTAGCTGGTGAGCGTTTTGAAGCATTTAGCAGCTAAAGAGACGGATATTTTTTCTCATGAGTTGGTGGAAATCAAAACAGAGCTAAAAGAGAGTGAGTACTAGATGTACATTCATCAGATGGACACAAACACAAATTAGCAGCTGTTTGCTAATAAATTCACTATATCAACTTAGACTTCCCCCAAGTGGCCAAAATAAATCCATTAATGTTCCATCCAATACATTTTTTGTTTTTTTACTTATCGACTGACATACACTAAAATTGACTGATAGCAGCAGCCCGTCTGTAAGATCAGTCAGGCTCTGACATGCACCTTTAAAGCTGCACAGCATTACTTTTACATCCTATAATATAATCCCTACACTTTAATAACTTCAATAACAGTCTATACTGTAAGTAGCTAGCTAATGCTGCCGAACACCACTGACTCAAAGAGAGCTGTCCTTTGTGGCCAGAAGGTAAAGAAAACTTAACTTTCCTGATTTCTTTTCCAAGCTGGGTAACTGGAATGCACAAAGTGTGCAATTACAACTCACCTGCAAGAAACTCTCAACTTTTCCAAACTTCTAACTTTGAATGAAATGCAGCATTAATGGAAAAGATTTAGGTCTAGGGAATGAAGTCACATTACATAAATCCCACTTCATTAGCAGCACTTGGGGCCACCGACTTGTGAAGTTGCCTGGTGCAACTTAAAGATAAAGGGAGAGAGAGGTGAATGCATTTAGCAGTTTCACAATTGACATAATCAGAAAAAAAAAAAACCCCAGTCGAAGGTTTCTTCACCTTGATGTGAACGGGCATTAATCTCTGGCTTTGGCCATCCTTAATCCAGTCTGTGTGTATTGTTTGATAGCAAAGACTCTGACAAACTGCAGAAGAAAACAGGTGTGTGCAGCGGTCGATAGTCTGCCAATGATAAATCAAAGGTTCGGTTAAAGTCACAAACACTGGAACGTTTCCTGCTCTAACCTGTAGACTGCTGTCCTCTTGGGTGTAGCTGGGAGATCCTACTGTATGTGTATACTGTAGCTCTATGTTCATGTAAAGATCTCATATGTTGTTTGAGAGTCTTCCTCATCTACTGTGACACCTGGTCTTGTGACGTCACCTCTTCACTTGCAACCTTCCCCCACCCCACCCCCCACCACCCCCACCCCTTTTGGTGGATTTTGCATCAGCCCGATCCCTAATGTTGTCCTGATGTTTGTTTTAGATGAGAAGGACGGTGAAATTAACATGAAAACCTTGTATAATGTGTTGTTTTTTTCTTTTCTTTTTTTTTTTTTTATTATTTTGTTTCGTTTTTTTCTTCTTCTCTGGACTCTTTGGTCTGTTTTCCTTTGAAATGGTCACTACAGCACTTTCTGTAAATTGGCCAATAAAAAGTTGTTTTGGAATCTAGCTGTGGGTCTCATTTCTGCGAGAGGTTTGTGGGAGGTTTTATGCTGCAATTTAATCTCTGGAGTCTATGAAAGTTTTAAATCTTATTATAGAAGAGGAAAAAACTACAATCAGTGCGGGATAAATGTGTGCAATCTGATTCTAATTATTTAGAATTATTTAGAATTGTTGTTTTGTACGTTAGTGAAGTTGAAAATTACTTTACTGAGAACATTATCTCCAAAATATTGCGTTTAAGCCTCAAGATAAAATCATGTTTTGCTTTCACTTTGCTCTGCTCTGAAAACAGCTGACCTTGTTTTATAGAGCCACACTCTAATGACAAAAGTGTTTTGTTTCATGTAAAGCCACAGGCACTTTTTTTAAAAGATATTTATTTTTAATTGAATGCGTTCATCCATTCATTTTCTAAACTGCTTATCCTCTTCAGGGGAAGGTGCGGCACTGATCCCCACTGGATTACTTTTTATTCTTGACTCAGTACTGCATCAAATAGGCCACACGAGCATGACGAGGGCAGCAAACATGAGTTACAATTGTGCAAAACGTCCCCATCAGTATGCAGGCTTTTCCCGCCTCTACGCTTCTATACTGATGTCCCACAGTGTTATTTTTATTTCAGTGAGGCAGCGTTCAATCATGTGTCTACAGTTGTACGAGTCGTCATGATTCTGCTCTGAAAATGTGCACACTGTCAAAGCCCGGGGTGGTTATTGTTAGCATTACTGTTATTATTTATAAGGCGCAGCAGGGGGGCCCCCTCAAGAGAGAGAAACAGAGTGAAAGAGCTGGTTGGACAAATAAATTGATTTTTTTTTGTATTTGGAAATTAAGAGCAGGAGCTAGTGTGCTCAACACTGTCTTTTATTCAGTGTATCTCATGCTATAATAAGAGCACAGACGAAGCTGCAGGCTGAGGTAAATAAAATATTTTATAAGATTAGATTAGATAAAATTAGATTAGATCTTTATTGTCATTGTGCTCAGAACAATGAAAATCTGTTTAGCAGCTCTCCTTAGGTATGTGAGTGACAGAGAGACAACTAGAGTTAGGCGTCTGTGCTGTCTGTTTGTCTGTCTAACCTAAGCATCAAGGACAAGTCTGCACAGTTGTCGGTGTGATTATTGCTTCATGGTCCAAATGTTGAGGAGAACCTACTGTGTACACGCTCTTGTTTGGTTTTCATGACTTTTTTCAGAGCAGTTTAGAAACTGATCTGTAGGAATGTGAAATGCTGCTCAGCACCACGGACAGCGACACTCACAGCTGCTCACACTCGTCCGCAAATAATAATACACCAGCAGCCAATGTGGTAATGAGGAGGTTATTCCACAGAGCAGCAGGTTTAACAAACTCCCAGTCGACTGACCCTGAGATGGAAAACTCTGAGTTTTCAGGTACAGAATAGCTAATCAGTGGAGCTCTGATTCACCATGGCAACAAGTAAATAAAGATGAAATAAGCTGATAAAGTAAATAAAGTCAAACCAAGTTAAGACTAGGAGCTGCTTATTATCCAAAAACTTACTTTTAAACTACAGTCAGTCCA